TAAGGAGTAGAAAGTACAGATATTTGTGTAAAAATGTAAGGAGTAGAAGTAAAAAGTCGCCATAAAAATAAGTAGTAAAGTAAAGTAAAAATATCAGAAAAATCTACTTGAGTAGAATCTACTTTCCATCTCTGAAGAGTATGACCAGGAAGCGAGGTAGGAGGGCAAATTGGGTTTAGCCCCACCGCAGCACGGGAGGGAGAATTATGCCCAGGAGGAAATGGATAAAAATAGACCGGAGGAAAAAAAAATACATGAATCAATTCTCTTGCGGACGTGTCGATGCATCAGATCGTTGGCTGTTGGATCGATGCATCGATACAAAACGGTTATTATTTACACCCCTACCACTGAATAATCTGTTTTCAGCTAAAAATGGCAACAAATTGTAAGTTTATACAAGTTAGTATTAAAATGCAAGAAGTTTGATAAAACATAGTTTGTTCTTCTTTACTAGTTAAAAAAATCTTCTCAGACGACCATGATTCACAGGTACAGGTTAAAATGAACATGTTTTCTTATTGTACAGACAGATTCAGACTGAGAGCTTCTACATATCTTGAAATGTTTCGGTCATCATGATATTAGTAAATAGGTTACGAATTCTTTTTAAAAAGAGCACAGAGAGAAGTAGGAAGAGCTGCAGATTTAAACGTATGGTCGGGAGAAAATCAAACATGTTTGAAATGTAGTCGGCCGTCGTAAGGTCGCATCAGAGCGCCGGGCCGCACAGTGTGAGAACATGCATCATGAGCTGTGAACTTTTAAACCCTGCGGTTTCTTCATACAGTTTGAGCTGTAGCTGCGTGCAATATAGCACACTGTATGCCCTGCTTTAAACATCATTTTGTGTTTCAGCTAAGCTGTCAGGACTTTTAGGCTTGCAATCTAAAATCAGATGTTTTACATGAGGAGGGATATCCCTTGTCATAACATCTTTATTTTACCCCATCAATCTGTAGTTCTGATAATACTGGGTTAAATTGATGTCATGTCTAAGGTAATAGTGTAAGGTCGTAAAACCTCTCTTTTAATTGATCCAGTGGTGCATCAGACTTCCATCTCCTCTACATTCTCTACTTTGTGTACATTTGTGTCTTGTTCAAGTTGGCCTACTTGAACTTCACTTCCTGATGTTGGATCCCAGGATCTTTTTTTTTCTTTTCGTAGCTTAGAAGAGATCTTTTTGTTCCCAGGCTGTAAAGACACTGCTAAGTGTTTATGCTAATTTGGTAATTATTCAGCTGTAGTGTGAAGTACAGATTTTCTGTCACAAAGCAGCAAGGACTCAGCCAATCCCAGAAAAGAATTAGATAACTGGAAGAAAAGTCAAAAGTATCTGGTAAAAATTTTTTTTTTTCCAAATTTGGTATATTTTCTTTGTCCACACTAAAATATAATTTTGACTGACTAATTATAATCCATTACTTTAAACATAATGTTAATGCCTCCATGTTATACTTTGACTTTTGAAGAAAAAAAACAAGAACGTTTTTCCATTTTAAAATCTGAACTTTTTTTTGAAACAATCTTTCACAGTTCGGCATATAGACGATTTCCTGACTTTCATATCTGTTATAAAACACCTGAACTGACCTTTTTTTCTTTTCTTTCTTTTTTCTGGCTTAATGAGAGCAGTAGGCTTTATGGTGCCCTGCAATGTTTTAAACCTGGGTTTGAATGGAGACAAAGCCATTTGCCAAGCACATATCAAGGTGCTCATTTGTTACCCTGGATCAATATTTATTTTTTATTATATTCATGGTGGAGAATGCTGCTTTCACCATTTCAACCGCAGTTCCTCCAGCAGTCCACACTTTCTCTGCTTTCTTTTTCTCATCGTCTTCTCCTTTTTTTCCCATCGCCCGGCTTGCATCAGGTTTGCCTGCTTTGTTTAAAAGTAGCAGCAGCATTAACCCAGACTAACTGCAGCTCATTGGCTAATTTGTATCACGTGCAGCCTGGTCCCGGAAGCTCTTGAAGGATTTACCATATTAACAGGAGAAGCTGCGCAGGTAAAATTAGACACTTTCGTCGGACAACATGTAGTAATTTATAAATGTTTTAAACCAGGTTGGGTCTGGATTAGCCAGCAGGTGGATCCGGACCCCGGTCCTCTAATCTATGACTTCTGCTCTATAGGTTTGTGGAAAAGCTCAGCAGGAGCACACTCCTATTAAAAATGTATTATTACATTTATTTCTATATAAAAAGGGAAAACTGAAATAATCAGATGAATTAAATAGTATTACAGTCTACATCTTGCCTAATACAAGGTATTTTTTTATTCTTTACTACTTAGGCCTACATCAAGCCGGTAAAGACTGCTCTGTGCTGAGCTCCATGATGAGATAGATCTAATTTAGGTGTCCCCTGAAAAAGTTCCTCCTGCTTTGATTCTGGCTAACCTACATTACCTCTATCACTTCTGCTGTATGTATCCCAACAATAAGCTGACTTTCAAGTTAATCTGGAAAGTTTTGTTCGTTCAGGAGAAAATACCATCACTTTTCGTCTGCTTCAGCGGTACCACTCTATGGCTTTATTTCATTATTCCTCTGTCAATCTCTCTGATCGCTCTGAGCTGTTCACACACATAATTATTGCTCTGCAGTAACTGTTGTTAAATTCTCTTATTATTCTTATCAGACTACTTCTAAATGTATTGTTACAAAAATTTTTTTACCATCTTAGACCTTTTCTTTGTTACGACTTTTTCGATTCAGCTCCTGGCCACTGGCTTTTAAATGCCTCCTTTTCTTTCAGCAAACTATAAAGTTAGAGCTGCTAGTTCAACAATTCATGAAAAAAAGCTTGATCATAAGGTCCCCTTTATACTTTGGGCCTGCAGATTATAAGGTAACAACATTAAGGGCATGATTTTCAGTAGGTTTGCATTTCTTTAAACTGATGCAAACATTATTATATGTGCAGAGCAGATCTTCAGAGAAAGTGCAAATTGATTTGGGCTTGCAATTCAACAGATGGTGTGTGCAAATCTTTTTTGGGTGTGTTCCTTCATCAATTTTGCAGATCATATTCTAATGATAACACTGTTCAGATTCATGGGTGGGGGATATGGAAATGCTGAGAGGAGCTGGTGGAGATAAATCCAGCTGTTAGGGGTGTAATCTGCTCTAATGTCAATCAGCAGACTAAAAAACATTTCTTATGTTTTATAGTATTTTATATTTTCTATAATTTAACTTTCCCTTTAGTTATTTTCATCTTTTTTTTTATTTTGTTCATAGCACTTTCAGATAGGCTACGTATTTCAGGGACACTATAAACATCATGGAATATTATCATTATTATTTGTTCAATAGATGTCCTTATTACTTCTAACTAAATGGCTTTGAACATCATCTTCCTTTAATGGCCACTCTCAAACTGTGGCTGTTTTTCAATTCACAAGAACGCGAGTACAGACTCATGTCCTCTCCAAGTATGTTCTTGAGAAGAACACAGGGAAGTATAGACTTTGGGAGAACAGGAGGGCGCAGCATAAATATGGGTCAATTGGAACAGAAGCGTACTCATGACATCACCACATGCTCAGCTCATCTGGAGCTGCATTTCACCTCCTGTTATTAATAGGCTCTATATGATAATAAATTCTTACCTTTTTCATTTATTGGGGGAATAATAATGTACACATTCAGATAAACACAAATTATATGAACATTTTGCCAAATAAAACAAAAAACTTGCCATTAAATCCAGCGGTCCTTCACACACAGCTATGCAGAGTGAGGGCTGCTGCAGACGGGCTGAGGTTAGCCCTGGCTGCCTTTACTCTGGTTGATGCAGTTCTCTCAGCTTCCAAAATCTTTTTTAAAATTACGCATTAAATCAGTAAACGGACCATATAGTGACACTTAAAGGTACAATGTTCTCGTCTCAAATTATCCCAAAATGTACTTTTATTGAACAACGGCAACAGAAAGCGAACTTTTAACCTAATACTCTGAGCTCTGTGAGCGCTCCATTGAAAGCTGCCGCAGTGCATGCTGGGACAGCTGTCAATCTAAAAAACGGACAAGTCTGCTCTGATAAATGTTGGGTAAATAGGGAGGGGCGAGAACAACATCTGGGGACTTTGACCGTTCTCTGTCTGCTGTTCTTGTTTATTGGAACAATACTGGGGCTGAGGCTGATGACGTTTCACGAGAACGCACAAGTACACATATTGAGAAATGGCCAGTGTGTAGAAACACAAATTCTACTAATTTTAATTACCGGAAACAAACTGGATCGCACGTCTTGACGTCCACGCATCAATCTTTGTGGATCACCCTAAATATGCCCACTTACTGAATGTACTAAGAAGAAAATTGCACGTGTTATTTGAAATCTTTCAAGATCAGGCCCTAAATGTAATTTAATCAAAAATTCCGACAAAAAAATGGACTTCTCTTAAGACCCCCAAAATATTGATGCATAGGAGATGAATGGATTATATTTAACTTAGTTTTGATACAGATAAAGGAGCCTATATTGCTTGATCAAACAGAACAGTTTTTGTCATATTTAAGTATTTTATAAACTGAGAGAAAGCTTAAAACAGGATCTCTCCTCACTGTTCAGTAAATGTCTATGTTTTTGAGGAGACATAAATTAGCATAACCAAAGCATATCTTTCTTCCTAAGGTACAAAATCATTTATACTTAATCTAAAATTAGATTAACTCCAGTATATAGTAAAAATATTTTTCATCCTCTCATCCCGGAAAAAAACCCCACTGAATCTGTCAGTCCAGGCTCTTCATCCTCTTCTGTATAACAATTAATACTAAAATTCATGGAAACTCAATAACTCTCATAATCAATGTTTAGTGTGTCTGTTTTACTGACTGGTTCAGTCACAGCAACATATTTTATTACGTCCATAGGTTAATCTGCATCACAGTGAGAGCTTTATTACACTCGTCTTTTATTTTTTACATTTAATTGCATCCAGTAACAGGTCAATTTCCTTTTTGTTTCTACTTGTTCTGCAGGGCTCAGCTGATTCCTACACAAGCCGACCGTCTGACTCAGATGTGTCCCTGGAGGAGGAGAAGGAGGGTGGGCGGCAGGAGAGAGAACAGCAGGCCACTGTTCAGCTCGAGAGGGCAAAGGTTGGCTTCAGCGGGAAATTTTCAAATTAAACTCTGTGTCATGCTTATAGTAAATCACTCTGATCACAGGAACAGAAAATGCAGAAAGTTTTAAGCTTATTTACGTATGTGTACAGGATTCCGTTTCAAGAAGCAGGTTTAACAAACATTGGAGTTTTCGATTTCACAATGGCTGCTATGAATTGGTTCAATCAACTCTAAGTAGGTCCACTCAGAGTTGAACATGTGCATAACAATTATGAAAAGCAATTATCAGTGGAGTCCCGATTTGACGAGTCACCTTGACGACAGGCAACAGGAAGTGCCTTTTTCCACCCACTGGAACTAGAGATTTTATTTATTAAATAAAAAAAAATGGAGAATGTGTTTAAAAGACAGAGAAACAGCACTACAGCTGCAAAGGAGAGGAAGATGGCGAAGGAGAAGATTGTTGCTCGAGTTAATGCATAGGATTATATGAAGTGCTCTATGGCAGGCCGTTTTTGCATTTTTTAAAAGCACTCCTCTCTGTTCTTCCATTTGTAGATCACTAAAATAAGATTATTCCTGATCAAAATCACACTCCTAGACTGAACTTTATTAATATATTTTTTATATTACATTTCTGCATTTCAAAAGATAAAAAAAATCTCAATCGTACTAGTAAGAGTTAAGCTTTATATACCTAGAAATGTTTACACATTTAAAGTGGCAGTTTTAACATTTATCAACTTGGCGGAATTTGTATTTATGATATCTTATCCTAAGGTTATTCCTTTCCCCTATTCCCTTAATCTTTTATGTGTAGTCTGAAAATAATTTCATTAGTTCTTCATGTGCTTTAAAAAATAAATAAATAAAAATTAAATAATCTGCATATCGCTCATATTAAACAAACTAAAAACACAATAATTCCCATATCCTGTCAACTGGGTTGTAGAATCCTCTCCACATTAATATTTAGTTCTCTGTGAAAAAATGTTGATCGTTCTTTAATAAGATCCTCATCTAACAGACATGCAATGTTTGTTTTTAAAGCTAATCTGTGTAACAAACCTAGTGAATTATTTTGTTGTTGTTTTATGCACAAACTACAACAAAAACCAGACTAAACCGCAAAATAAAACAGCATGCTTGGATGTAAGGAGAGCAGAGAGAGAGGAAACTCTATGTAATGCGCATTACTAAGGGTATTCTGGCCTGACGTGGTACTCTGAGCTTCTTGTGATTGGTTGCAAACCATCCCCTGTATGAAAAAATGCATTTGTGTATTGAGGCACGTCTCAAAAATTCACACACAAATGCAGTGAAGTTTAAAGAAGACTGGTACTTTGTAATTTAATTTATAATGTTTATGGACCAGAAATACATTGGTGAATCATGTGCTTTGCATGTGTGAATCTTGTATGCTTGTGTGAATCATGCTGTGTGTGTGTGTGTGTGTGTGTGGGTGTGTGTGTGTGTTTCAAGCTTGTACTGTGTGTGTGTGGATCTTGTCCTGTGCATGTATGAATCATGTATTTATGAAAATTGAGACCGAAATAGCTCCACAAAACAGCAAGTCATGAATTGTAGTTCCTCTACATTCTCTATCAAATTTTGTCATAATTCAAAAGTGTAAAATCCCTGTATGCCCTGTATGTCCGTTTGTCAGCCTCTCAATGTACATTAGTAAATTAGATCTTGACAACTGTTAACTGATAATGTCAAAGAAATTTAACTTAACATTATACAGCAGGTTATAAAAGTCTCTTGAATCTTTATTAAGCTTGTTTGCATGCCTTTTTTGGAGCTTTTTCTATTGCAACGTCCAAACGCCCTGATAAACAACTGTTATCTGTAAGAATCTTAATGCTGGAAATAGAACTATTTAAATAGCCAACAGCAGCTGTTACAAGGTAAAACCAAAGGGGAATAAAGCAGAACTGTTAGCATTAATGCAGTGTCTTGTGATCACCTCTAATAATATCTGGGAAGATCGTTTAAAACACGACATAGTGTGCTTATAATAAGATAAGAGTAACATCGGACGTAACCACATCAGCATTTCCCAGTTCTTTGGAGATAAACAGACTCAGGCTATGTCCTTTGTTTGGGAGTTGGTTCTTGTACATGCTGTAAGAGTCCAAAGGTGCCTAGCCCCCTAGAAATCTTTAAAACCACCATCTACACAAATGAATGCATTTTTCATATGAGTGATTTAATGTCGAACTAGACGATACAAAAAGGTACAAGTGGAAAGTTTGTAGGCCGTTAAAAACATTTTACATAGAAAGGGATCAAATTTTGTAAAAAATTCTGTGGGATCTCTACTAATTTTTTGTTTATGCCTGAAAACGATGGACGCAAACGACATCTTAGAGTTATCAAACCATACGCTCAAAAACAAGCACATTTTCTTGATCAATCAGTGCACACATGTGTGGGTAAAAGGCTCCACCTCATTTAGCCTTAAATGGTCCATGCAAAGAGCTGCATGAATGTTATTCTGTATTTAAATGAGCCAGCTGATTAATGTTACATCATGGTTACCGATGGTAACCACATGAAAAAAGAGCCCAGTTTTACTAAGGAAGAAATAGATGTGTTGGTGAATCAGCTAAAATGTTTGGTAGAGGCGTGACATATAAAAGAAAGTATTATTAATGCCAACACATTCAGAATCTATTAACAGTGACATCCAAGATGGCAGGCAGTATTTATGGAAAATTTCTTAGAATTATTTTTAATTAATTTGGCTAATTAATTTTGGATAGCAAAAATAGGGTTGGAGCACCTGAGTAGGCAAAGTGCTGCTGGTGGGGACTGGGAATCATTATGAGAGGGGGAGATGCTAGTAGACCCAAACAGCTTTTGGATTTTTTCAGACTTTAACAATGTTTAAAGAGGAGATAAAGCCCCTATTCCCACATAACTTCTTTGAGAGTTTTGTGCTTGCATGCATTTCAAGTGTAAGCATCTTTTTTGGGGTGAACTGAATGACTTGCGAATGATTCCATTCTCTTTTTATTATACAAAAAGCAATATTGAAGACAAACACTGATTCCCAATCAAATAAGTTTTAGTTGGGAAGACTAACTCCAAATTGTGTGCTTTGTAATAAGCAGATAAGATAAATGCGGATTTATTTATGGTATCATGTAAACTTTGAGGCTATGGGATGAAATATGCAACCTAGAAAATGTGCTGTTGATCTGTTGTGATCGGAGCAGCTGCTGTCTGGTTGCCACCATTGTCAGATGGCCTGAAATGGCTCCTCCTCATCAGTGCTCATCCCTCCCTGGGCGACAAGCTGGCTGCATGTGCGATTTGTCTGCATGTGTGATGGTGCTGCTGGAAGAAAAATCCGCTCTGCAGAAAAAGAAGACGCTTGTTCTGTCATTATCCTCTCTGCAACTTCTGATGTTTTTCATTTTATCAATATTCAGATATGTATGTTAAGTAATTCAGTAGAAAACTGTCCAAAATGAAAAATAAATATTTGATAGTAATTAAATATTGCCCCATGTGTGTAACAGAGTAAAGCAGTAGCGTTTGCTGTAAGGACCAATGTGAGCTACTGTGGTGCGCTGGATGAGGACGTCCCTGTGCCTGGCACCGCCGTCTCTTTTGATGCCAAGGACTTCCTCCACATCAAAGAGGTACATTTCATGTGCAATTTGCTGACGCTGTACCTGTGGATGACTGAATTTTTTCCAAACTGTAAAGTTTTCAACCAAACTGTACTTTAAAATCAATGGCTGTGGAATGATTGGACAGATTGTTAGTAGTGTTTTTGACCCTTTATTTTTTGGTCTATGACCATTGTATAACTAGAAACAGCTACTGGAGGTAACGGCTGGCAATTGAGTTAAGCTTATTTAAAAAGCGCCAATTCACACCACAGGTAAGGCACTTTACAGAGACAATTCAATCAGATCATACAGTCAGATTGGTTCAAAGTTTTCTAAGGAAAACCAATTAATTGCATCATATTATTGACTTTTAAGCATTTGCTCCTCCTGGATGAGCCTGAAGAGACAGTAGATACCCCCTTGCATTGTGTCTTTGACTCTACAGGAATCCCTCACACCGAGCATTGAAGCAGCAACAGTAGAGAGGTAAAACTTTCATTTAACAGGAGGAAACATCCAGGAGAATCAGACTCAGTGTAAGAGGCCTTCTGCTGAGGCCAACTGGAGGTTTAAAGAGAGAGAAGCAGACATAGAGGAACAAGGGAGCACTAATCCATAAATAATTTCTATGTTAGAAAAGGTAATGGTAAACTAGCTGCACACACTCTGTCTAGGAAAGGCAGAACAGTTAAACAGACAAGCTTTGAACCAGTTTCCATGCCGAAAGAGACAAAAGTACGGAGCACCTAAAGGGACATGGAGGGGAAAAAAAGAACTTTTGCGAGATCCCGCAATAGTTCTGCGAGATCTCGCAAAAGTATTGCGGGATCTTGTAAAAAATAAACTTTTGCAAGATCCCGCAATACTTTTGCGAGATCTCACCAAACTAATACGGGATCTCGCAAAAGTTTTGCGGGATCTCCCAAAAGTTTTTTTTTTCCCTCCATGTTTCTTTAGGGGCTCCGTAGGATTGCATACTGACCTTGTCTCTCTTCATTCATGTAATGTCGTGTTTTGGGACTTCTCTATAAATTAAGAACCTCTCCAAATCATCCTCCATGGTTGTAGCTGACACATGGTCGTATTATCCTCCCATAGCAGTACACTTTGCACCTCCACTGTTGTGTGTTTGTTTTACTTCCGGTTCGCTGACATGGCAAAACGTTTTGCGAGATCTCGCAAAAGTATTGCGGGATCTCGCAAAGTTTATTTTTCCCTCCATGTCCCTTTAGGGGCTCCATACAAAAGAGAGTAGATACGGTAAGAGATTGAATTAACAAATACTACTGAATGATGAAAAGTGGTCCCTATGTCATTCCAAAAAAGTTAAAAAACAATCCACTGAACTTTCTCTCCAGGTTGGAAGACGTTTTGCTTCCCATCCAGGAAGCTTCTTCAATTAAAAATGTCAGCAATAATGTTGAGTTTGAGGCTTTATACATTAGCCCAACAGAGTCTTGTTTTTGTTTAGAAAACACGCAAATTGAAACGGACTAATGGTCCACCCGGGTCCCTATGTCCTCCTGCAGCTTAAGCCTATAGCAGCATAACTACAGAGATAGCTCAGAATAACCTGAGCCACTCTAACTATATGCTTTAACAGAAAGGAACATACTCTTAGCATCACTGGCTAAAACTGGAAGTTGGCACAAGAGAGAAATCTGATAACTTAAGACCTGCCTCCATATCTACTTTTAGAAATTTTTGAAACCACTTATAAACCTGAGCAAAGTGCTCATTAAATAAGGACATAAAATGAACACATTTTTCTGGGTTAATTGATTACACATATAAGCAGTTCTCTAGCTACCCTAAAACATCCAATAGAAACAAGATGTGACTTTTCCTTGATGAGGTATCATTTCCTTTAAACATTTTCAATTTTCTTTCTGCAAACTTCCATACATCTTGTTTGGATTTTAGGAAATAAACCAACAAAAAGTAATGCAAAATTGTCACGTGATAGGAATATAATTGTATATTATATTTAATTATAGGAATATATATCTTCCTCCTCCTTAACTCTGATACCCCCTAGTCTAGCCAGTGATTTTAGGATAGGTACAGCTATTATTAGAGAGTATTAGTTGACACCATGAGGAAGACTTAAATAAAAATGCTAGAAAGGTCAACAATAAAGTAGTGCTGACATTTCAAACAGTCAGCTTGGAAAAAAAACAACACAGGCTTTAAGCATCTCACTTAGATCTGTTCCGTCCGTTATCTTTAAAAGGAAAACCTATGGTGACCCTAAGTGTGGACAACGACATTAACTGAAACAGAGCATTAGTTAGAGATGTTAACAGAGCCCCGGTAACTCTGGAGGAGCTGTGAAGATGGCCAGCTCAGGAGGGGGAACCTGTTAATTGGAAAATTATTGGTTCGCAATCTAAAAAAATTGGCTTTTATAAAAAAGTTGAAAGAGGAAAGCCATTGTCTTTTGATACATCCTCTGTAAAAAATACCTGAGAACCTGCCAAAATGTGACCATCCACCTAAACTGACAGACCTTAACCAGAACAACAAAAACAATGCATAGGTCCTAAAAAAAATGCTGGAGCTCTGGTTCTGTTGGGGCAATGTCAATGACACTCAGCTGCACAATCCACAAATCTACCCTCTTTTAGGACAATAGAGCAAAGAACACGGCTGTAAAACTATGCTGATAATAAGTCTAAGTTTCTTAGAAGGTGCTATGATCAATCTGAGGTTGAAAATAGAGCAAAATTGAGTGTAGCAGAAGCTGACACTTCATACACGTTCCACACCTTTTATAGACTGAAACATGGATGTGGAAAAAATATACTGTGAGGATGCATTTTTTTTCCGCGGAGACAGGGAGTCTGACAAAAATCTAAACACTGGTGATCTTAGAAACCTTGTAGATTCTAGAGAAGATTTAAAACTGGCTGAACTGAATGTGTGTAACTGTTAGGAGGGATTTATTTAAAGAAAACGTAAATACTTACTATTGAAAACTGAACCATTTAGAAAAAAAATCCATACTTCTGTTGCCTTTTGAATGTTTTTTCATTGCCTAAGATAAAGGCTTAAAAAAATTGTCAGCAAGTCTAAAGTATTTCACTCTCCCAGGGATGCAAGAACAAAATAAAATCATTCAGCTCTTGTAGCCATGGTTGGAAAGTTTCTTTCAGCTTATTTTCAATACATCTTTGGGTCAGAATGTTTTTCTTTAAGATTGTGTCTTACTGCTATAATTTTAAAAAACTACGAAGGTCCTTGTGAAGAGTGAAATAATTTTGGCTGGGAAGAACTTTGATTCTTCTCTCAAGTAAAAATTTTTCATTTTTTGCAAAGTATGTGCAGTATGAAATTGCTAAATGAAAAAAAAAAAATCAAACAGAATTTGAAATTTTTTATTAACCTTAAAAAAAAGAGAATATTTGCTCTTATTTTCTTAAGCAGTGACTCATCCAGGGGAACACAGTCTTTTTTTTGCTGTCTGAGTTTAAAAATGAAAAATGTCTTAAAAATATGACGTCTTTGTTTATGATTTTACTGTTACTAATGTGACACCCTTGCTGTAAAATACGATGGAATTCTAACAGAGAGAGGGTTTAATTATTTCCCTCGTCTTTTGCAGAAATACAACAACGATTGGTGGATTGGCCGCCTTGTGAAAGAAGGCTGCGAGATCGGATTCATTCCGAGTCCGTTGAAGCTGGAAAACATCCGGCTGCAGCAGGAGCAAAAGAGAGGACGCTTCCATAGGTGAGCATCGTTAGAGTGGAGGCATCTAGGACAGCGGCAGATAATGCATAGGAGACAGATAGATAGGGGTGATGGGAAGTTGGAAGATGGGAGGCGTTGGGTTTGTCCTAAGGGGAGAAACACTTCTGGGATGAGGAGCTCGGCTGGCAGTGAAACTGACAGATAAGCAAGAAGTCAGCTGGATGACTACCAAGTTGTGTTGTGTGGTCCAGCCTCTCAGAGGTGTTCCTGGGATGCGGCCATTGCTGAATTTTCCATCAGATGGAGCTGTTGGATTCCAGCCAACAAGATGATAAGTGATGCTGAGAGGATGCTGCTAGATAAAAGACTTGGCAAGCTAAGATCTTTTGCTTTTGTGAGTCTGTGTGAGTGTAGCTCAGCACCCCTCCACTATTAGACAATGGCCACCCAGGTTTGTTGACTCATGTGCTTATTAATCTAAACACTTTTTGCATATATTTTCCCCCTCAAAATTTATATTAAAGCTTCATTTAATGTTTACATATCACCTCTTTTTACACATGTATTCTAATTTATAATTACTTAAACTCTCAGATGAGGTGATTGTTGCTAGTTGCATTTTGCACAAGTGCTACGCAGAATTCCAGATCTCTTTTCTCCTCCTGTTTTCCTTCATCGTTGCAGTAGCAAATCCAGTGCTAATTCCTCCTCCAGTCTGGGCGAAATGGTTTCCGGCACATTTAAACCAAACCCAAATTCTGCAGGTTGGTCGTTTTTGTATTATACCTATTTGTTTTAAGAGGAAGTAGAGGGGTAAAGTGACTGTCAATAAAGACAAATAAGTAGGTGACTGAATTTATAAATGTAAATCAATAAACAAATACATTTACGAATTGTATCTGTTAGACATGCATGTGACATCAATTGTTTCATATGTAAAATAAATGTTTAAATGTTATAAACACAAGTTACTAAGTTACTTTGCAAAAATACATGTACCAATCACAAATTTACATGTAACAATCTACAACCGATGAGGAAGCTGTTACACTCTTTACCAGTTGGTGGCGGTAATACACCTAAGCAGATATAAACAGAGCCAGTGGTTAGACTTAAGCTTAATTCAAATTCATGGGCTGCGTCTTCCAACGACCCGGTCTATCTAGACTGGATACCCCGAGGTCTGTGAAAATAAGGAGAACTGAAGAGTTGGACTATATTAAACTGCACTTTGAATATTCACCACTGTTTGGTGCTAATTACCTTTTTCCTCTGGTCGTGGAGCAGCCGGTTTGCTTGGTGTTGCAATGAATCTCGCGATATCCAAGGATACGTAAGATACACAGGACCCGTCCTTTTAATCGGGCAAAAAGAAGGACGCATTTGACGGCCGCATAACAAGGGTTATTGCAATCCGAACAGACCTCAGCGCCGCGCTATGACATAATCGCCTGACGAATCTGGTCTTCGGAGGACGCAGCCCCTGAATTTCAATTCAGCCTTTATATCTTGTGTTGTCGTTATTTTCTTGATTAAGTGCATTAACACCTGTCATTATTTTGGCACTGATGGACACCACCACCACCAGCTGGTATGAAGTGAATCAGCTTTATTAAGGGTTGTAGATTCCAGTTTGTAAATTTGTGATTACTTCTATGGTTACAATATAAATGTATAACTTTTATTTATTAATTCTAAGCCTGTATGTGATGACAAGAAGTATGAATAAATATAAAATATACATTTTATATTTATTCATATTCATCAATCCATTAATCTTCTTCCGCTTATCCGGGGTCGGGTCATTGGGGGTTATAGCTTCAGTAGGGAGGCCCAGACGTCCCTTTCCCCAGCCACTTGGGCCAGCTCCTCTGCGGGAATGCTGAGGCGTTCTCAGGCCAGTCGACAAACACAGTCCCTCCAGCGTGCCCTGGGTCTCCTCCTGGGCCTCGTCCCAGTGGGACACGCCTGGAACAGCTCACCAGGGAGACTTCCAGGAGGCATCCTAATCAGATGCCCAAGCCACCTCAACTGGCTCCTCTCGATGTGGAGGAGCAGTGGCTCTACTCTGAGTCCCCCCCGGATGACTGAGCTCCTCACCCTATCTCTGAGGGAGAGCCCAGACACACTACGGAGAAAAGTTATTTCAGCCGCTTGTATCCGGGATCTCGTTCTATCAGTCATGACCCAAAGCTCATGACCATAGATGAGGGTAGGAACATTGATGGACTGGTAAATCGAGAGCTTTGCTTTTTGGCTCAGCTCTCTCTTCACCACAACAGACCGGGACAGCGCACGCTTCACAGCAGACGTTGCACCAAATTTATTCATTTATTATTATTAATTTTATTTGTCTATTTATTCATATTTATTGGCTTACATTTATGAAGTCAAGCTTCTAAGCATACATTCTTATTGACATGTATGTTAAGACAAAAAAATAACCTTAAAAAGAGGAGGAGGACTCAGGTTCCAGCTTGTAAAAATCTACAACGCAGTGATAGAGTTGATTCCTTACCGCTATCATCTCAGTCCTCATTAGGGGGGACCAAAACATCTCACCTGGTCAGCCAGGCCAACAATGACCCTAATGACTCCCTTTTAAGAGGCATAGGCCAGTATCGGGTTTCGCAGGCCAACAACGACCTTAACGACTCCCCTTTACTGAGGGGTGGACCTGTTTTTTTGGTACAATTTGCATGTTTTCTAAGCCACAACAAGGCTTTTGTTTGAGCCATCCTACAAGCCTGGAACTCAAACATTACTCTACACATTTTGAATTGAGAAAACTTTCTGGATGGGAAGCAAAATGTCTTCTGGAAAACAAAGTCCAGTGGTTTGTTTTGTAACCTTTTGAAATTCCTATTATTATTCCTATGACAGTTATCTTTACCCCATAAATATTTATCTGATATTCAATTACATACACATATTCTTTTTAATACTGTTTTTAACTGTCTCTATGTTCACTCTGATGTTGCTATTTCTCTTATATTATTTGTATAAAGCACTTTTTACAGTTCACTTATACTATATCAATTACTGTTTTTAATTTCAGGAAAGCAGAAACAAAAAGTGGTAAGTGAAAATAAATGTCATAACTTTTTTAATCATGTTCTTAATCATGCTGTCAATTCTGATGATTAATTGGAGGTAGTTGGGCCAGATTCTAAACAGCCATTTATACATCTTTACACTATTTAGTTTTCAGTTACTTATTTTGAGCACCTAGAAAAAATATGCACACATATACAAAAGGAACATATATATATATAAAAAAAACAATTTTTAGCATGTTGTCATATTACAGCTACAGTCAGACATTAAAGCAACACTGTGTAACTTTTAGGGGTGGCAGACGAATAAGTTCCAGGTTTACCGTGCCCCTAAAAGCACCTGGCACCATTACACTTTTGCCTCCCTCACTGTCATCACTGACTTATTTGGGCCAGCAGACATAAGTCTTGGAGTTACTTGTAAATTGAAGTCTGCATTCGCCCCTCTAGATTAATTATGCTATATAATTATATTAATTATTAATTATACTAGAATAAAAAGACATTTGTTATCTTAGCTTTTCAGACATGTGAATCTTTTTTGGGCTCATGTTTTGTGCTTAGAATAGATAAATTCATGATTATTTCACAATCATTTTACAACTTAGCCAAGCTTTGGTATGAAATAGCCAGATGTGATTTACATTAGGATATATTTGAAGAATATATGGTGAGGTAGAGAGTTGGGATGACACTAATATAATGTGATCATGTAACTATTTGCTCTCCCCCCTCCAGGCTGAACACGTCCCTCCATATGATGTGGTTCCTTCGATGAGGCCGGTGGTCCTGGTAGGACCATCCCTTAAAGGCTACGAGGTAACTCTAAGCCTCTTCTTTTTCTAATGCTCACAGAGATTTATTCATATATTGTAATTATTATATTTATTTGTGAGGTTTCCTATCTGAAATAACATATCTGAGCTACTGGTTGCAGTGTGCTCATCCCGCAGGGGACTTTTGTTCATTTGCTTCACGATCACAACATTAAAATCAAATCTGCTCGTTTGTTTGTTGGAAATGCACACCCAGAAAGGTAACGGGGAGCACTGAAGTCAGTTGTCATGGAATCACGCTCCTCGCCTCCCATTCCGGTGTTGCCTTGGTAACAACCTTCTGGGTAAACTGCGTCAGTCTGAAAAAGTGGAGCATGGGTCGAAATTAGAAACACAGAATAATGTGAACCATTTTAAGGGTTTTTGAAATTAAGTGGGTGGGTGGTAAAAAATCCTAAATCTTTTCTTTTTTTTTGCTTCCCGCGTCTGTTGCTATGGGTTTTGTTGTTCCCATGCGATGTCTCAGTCCTAAAGTACAGTAAGAGCAGACAGAATGTCTACTGAAGCTATTGTATCGTTTAGTAGGAGATGATGAATAGATCTGTCCAGTGTGTCAGCCTCCTATTAGAATGATACAGCTGTTGCTGTAGAGTTTTCTCTAAGGATATATAAGCTTCACAAACTCAAACAACCTCAGTCTTTGCACTTGTTTGCTCCATGCTCTATGACAAACCTCATTAAACCCCTTAGCAACTATCAAGCCTATCTTAATAAATCTAAGGAACAGCTGGAAAGAATATTGTTGTCTGATTTTGATTCATTTCTTCATCTTTGGGTAAAGCAACCAAAATACTTTTTTCTTAATGTTTAGGGGAAATTATCTGGTCAAATCAGCTGGATTGAAAATTCAAAAAATGTTATTCCCGCCTTGAGTTAGCTTTTTTTAACCTTCAAAGCCAAAACCCTGAAATTTATTTTCTTTCAAACTAGATCTTGTCATTGGACATCCTGACCAATAACGTTTTTTTTTTTTAGATACGGTAAGTTCAGTTAGATACGTTATTCCTATAATATCTGATACTTTAAGCATTTTGTGCAGCTTTTTAAAATAGATTTTATGTTTATAACATGTAAAGATGCACCCATCCAATTTTGGGATCAGATGTCGGCCCCAATTATATGTTTTATATGTAATTGTGTTATATCAAACTGGTCCTATAGTCACTCTATTACATATGTAGTAATGTGACGAAAGTAATTTCTCCCTGGGATTATTAAAGTATTTCTGATTCTGATTCATGGTTGATGGGACTGAATGTGCGCATTGATGACTGAAAGACATCTTCTGCGTCCATTTATCTGTTTATTACAATGTGTTGAATTCATGTTAATGTGGATTTAAAGACATTTCAATTAGTGGAAAAAATTGCAGGGGGGGAATATAAAAAAAAAAGTCTATTAAGCAAAACTCCCGCGTTCCGCATGCAGTACCTCCGTGAGCCCCCTAGGGGTCGCGGACCCCTGTTGAAGACCTCCGCCATAACATGTGACCACAGTTTTCCTAAGGATTAGATCAAATGCAATTAAAAAGCAGGCCAGTCCGTTAAGTATAGAAACAGATATTTATTCACACACAAAAACAGCGTGGTAAGTTTGGAAGAAATTAGGAGAATATTATTGCATTGATCCAAACAAGATTTGCTGCCATTATTAAGATTTTTTTTTTTTTCCAGTTTTATACTTCCTCGCTTGTCTTTTCCTGGGGCTTTTGATTCAAATTACACCATCAGATATGAATTGTAATGTTATTGCTCCAGTAACTCTCCTGTAGACAGTTCATCTCAGCTCCTAATCATTTTCTTCAATTCCCTTTGCATATTGGAGGATCCAGCTTCGTAAATTGTGTAATGCATTGATTTGGATCATTATACGCTGCATCAGAGTGGATAACAGAATCATTTCTTTTTGTTTATGTGTATAATTTTTTTGCAGTGATTTAAAATAGCATGCATGTGATGGAACAAACATTGTAAGCCAATGTAGATATAATTGCTTATTGATCTCCTGCTTGCATTATTTATTTTTTACCTTTAGCACTGTGATGTGAAGAAGAAATAAGATTTAGTTGCTGCTTTTTTGAGCCAACTAAAATTTTCAGATAATCTAACAAATTGCCATCAGACAGGCAAGAGGTGAAACAATGCAGAAAGCAAATGCTTCTTTCATTTCTTCTGAGGAAAAAATCATAAAACAACCAAACCATTTGTGGTAATCACATCCTAAAGCAAATACAGATGAACTTATCTTGCTGAACATCCAGAGTTTTTGATAGCTGACAGTGAGTCTTTTAAATTATTGTGAAGCAAATCCCCCCTTCGGTTGCAGAATTGTTTAAATGCAGTCATATGGAGATGCTTTGACATGACCAGAAACCATCTGCTCTTCTGATAAAAACACATACTTTGATTACGCAAATAAAAAACATTCATGAAGTATTTTTGGGCATTTAAATTTTGGCTCAATGGTGTCATGATTAACTAAAGATGAGACCCAAATGCAGAGAAACCATTACAGAGAGACCAGGGGAAAAGGTTTTACAGGTTTTATTGAAGTGATAATGCAAAGAGCAGTGTAGCTCTGAACTCTGCTCAACCGGAACTGAAAACTGAGGGGAAGACACATTTTCAGGCTCAGTGGGAAATTTGATTTGTGAACTTGGAGAAGAGGATCAGGTTGCTGACTCATGTTTCCAGAGAAGTTGTTGAATCTTAGACTCCAGTCTGTATGCTGTTGTTCCAGTGTTTGTCTGAATCGGTGGAGGGCGGAACAGGGTTTACCCAGAACGTGGTCGTTTGTAGGTGAACGGAGAAACTGACTGCCACTCAGATTTCCTGCGGTACTTGAACGGGTCATAGTGGAGATGATTCCCTTGCTCAGTGTGTAAACTCAACGTCCTCCTTGGGAAAGTGGATCCAAACCTCCAGTTTGAATCCCGAGCTCAGTTTGAGACTCAGTTGATCCTTCCAGGGAGTGAAGGTCCGAAAGATCCAGTTTGCAGGTTGACTTCCTGCCGAGAGGCAAGGCAAAAACAATGTTTAAACTCAGGTTGATAAGAAGTCAGGCCTGTCCACACGAAGCCGAACCCTGGCCTAAACGCACAAATTTTTCACCAAACCAGCCTCTCATCCATACGAAGCCAGCGTTTCGGGGGTCTGTAAACGATCTTTTTTTTATTCAGCCTTCAGAGTGGGAAGATTTTGAAACGCCGTTTTCGCGTTTCCATTTTTAAGCTCTAACCGCTTTTTTTTTTTACACGCATGCGTCAAAGCGTCGCCTCTAAACACGCATGCGCGACACAGTATCACAACAACAATGGCGCCGTACTGTGTTGAATGGTTGCTGCTCATGCTACTCACCCTGCTGTCGGGCTTACAACAGAATCTTCTTCTTCTGGAATATCTCCAGGAAGAACAGAGCAATATCGATGACATAGTTCAGCACCTGAATTTGACTTAACCACGAAAATGGACCCGCAGGGCAACCATGTATAAATATTAGTGCGCATGCCCAACATTTCGTCGCCTATTTTTGCTTTGGCACCACAGCGCCACTTACAGGCCTGGCATACATTTTGCAGCATTTTCATGCATTCGTGTGGACGATCACATTTATTTTACGTCTCCGTCTTTACGACAAACGTTCTGGAAAATATTAGCGTTTCGTGTTCGTTTTGACTTCGTGTGGACGGGGCCTCAGTCTTACTCAGCAAAAACTCAGTTTGGCTAGAGTACCCAAAACTGGCAAACACTCTGGCGTCGAGGTAGTGGCAATCAGCAGCTTAAGAGCACTCCGTTAACGAGGTAACCATCAGCAGGTGTGTGAGGAGGCAGACCAGAACCAGGCGCCTCCTGTTGGAGGAAGGGAGAAAAACTCAAAAAACAAACACACAGACTGGAGCCCTGACAAATGGTGGGTTTTGGATTGTTCTGTTGCTCCTTCTGGGAGACGAGGGCTTAGTCTGATGATTTGATATTTTAGCATCAAAATTGTAAAAGCAGAAGAAATCTGCTTTACATTTGTCTGACAAAGCAGAGCAAAATGTGTATTTTCTGTTTCCCATCCTTCAGTGTTTTTACATCTGTCCCATTCTGTCACTTATGGCTGTAGGTAACGGATATGATGCAGAAAGCGCTGTTTGACTTCCTGAAACACAGGTTTGATGGGAGGTAAGCAGGCCAACATCAAAACACCATCATGAACTCATCATTGTGCTGCAAGCATTACTCTGTGACATTCCTATGTTGTGTTGCTGCAGGATATCCATCACGAGGGTTACCGCTGATATATCGTTAGCCAAGAGGTCAGTACTTAACAACCCCAGTAAGCGGGCCCTCATTGAGAGATCCAACACCCGCTCCAGCCTTGGTAAAGCTACAGGAATCATCCCACTCAATGATGTGCATTTATTGTCTGTGTGTCAGCAAATTAATGTTCTGTGTTTCGTCTCATATAGTTTTTAGTTGATAATTGCCTTGTTGTATGCTCTTATTTTTGGTAGCTGAGGTCCAAAGTGAAATAGAAAGGATCTTTGAATTGGCCAGATCTCTGCAGCTCGTGGTTTTGGATGCAGATACCATTAATCACCCAGCACAGCTTATCAAGACCTCATTAGCTCCAATTATTGTCCATGTTAAGGTGTCATCCCCTAAGGTAAGACTGCAAGCAGATTACTGTCTGTACAACACTACTGTACCTTAAACTCAATAACTGACACAAAGTAACGTGAAATGAAGTACAAGGAAAAGAATAAATAAATAATAATAGATAAAAGAAATGATTGAACATTGAACATTTTTGTCAGATGCTTGTTTTTTGTTGTTGATTTTTTGCAAATAAGATCTATAAATGAGAAATCTGAAGAAGTAGGACATGCATTAGTAGTAATGAATTATTGGCAAGCATGAATATCTCCACAGCCTGATGCTGCCACCACCATGTTTTGATATGGGGATGGTGTTCAGGGTGAACTGTCACTTAAAATTAGACTTTTTCTTTGTGTGTATTCCATACAAATAGTTTTGTGGAGTCTCAAACTGTTCCCCTTTGGACAGATTACCTCCTCCATGAGCTCCTTCACAGCCCTTTAAAGCTTATCATAGGTGTCTTTTGGCTGATTCTTTGTTTAATGCCATCTGTGCACAGTATTTTAGCTCAGCTGAGAAGTGCATAAAACACATTTGTAAATAATAAATTAAGCAGTGATCTGAGTTTCAGCATCCTAAATACTGTATCTCCTCCCTGACCTACATGTATGATGTGTAATTAGTATAGTTAGTTTCATACAATTTAAATTAGGCGTATTAAGTATAAGATAAATTTCCACATTTTTCAGAGTTGTACTTTTATTTAATTTTTTTAATTCAAAATGATATTCCACTGTGTATTAGTAGTCTATGTATACAATCAAATAGGTTAACATTTGATGGTGGAAATACATAAATATGGGAACAGTGTCAAGTTATTTCTAATCTTATGCAGCTTCCCCACTTGAAAAGGGATGGATAAATTGATGCAGACTTTGTTGACCAGGGTTTTACTCAAAGGACCACACATTTTTCTTCCTTTTATCCTCTATTTATTTTGTGAGTGTCAGGATATATCTACAATTGGTCCAGAAGCAGGTAAAAACCTTTAAACAAACCCAAAAGAAGAAAAATAAATACTGATTTGTATGTTAGCTTACATTAATTAGTTCCACTTAAACTACAAAAGAAAATGATAAACTGTACAACACTAAACAAACCGCTGTGAATCAAACCCACAAAGTCATTAAAGTTAAATGAACAAGTAACTAAACTTAAGTTCCTTAACTTTCAAATACATTTCAAATAAATATTTACAATTACATTTATTTAAATATACAAATACTACTTTATTTTATAAATAGTTTCATATTGTTATTCTTCTTAATCTGATAGTTAATTTATAGATAAACTTAACACCAAAATTTGCTATTTAACAAAATTACAATAAGTTCAAGCATAAAATCAAACAACTTTAGCACCACAATCCACCTCCTCAGCTGTTAATTGGTGTTAATGGCAAACTGAAGGCCAGGCTGGAGGAACATAGGTAACTTTGCAGTCCAATCTCATAAATTACAGCTTTTCTTACCGGCTGCCTCTCCACCCGTCTACAAGTTCATCCAGATCTGCACAAGTCCAACAGGATCTCTAATCATGAGAGTCCCAAACTTTTGTTCTCTTTGTCTGGCTTTCTCCTCTGCTCCTTCCTCCATTGTCCGTCCCTCTTAAAGGTCCGTGTGAAACAGTGCACTTTTTTTTTTTTTTTTTTTCCTCTTTTCTCATTTGACTTCACACCTCCCACTCGATCTTTCCATGAACCAATGGGAAGGTCGCATTTCCACTGTCGTATTTGGTATCTCTGAGTTTTATTCCTCTATAGCTTGACTTTCCGTTTGTTCCTCTACAGGTATTAAGACGATGAGCCTCCTAACATCCCTGTGAAGAATGGTGGTCCTCATTTTATCTTTCTTTGGTGGATGAACTGATTTTTGCTTGACATGTTTTGTTATGGGAGTGCAATAACTTGGGACAACCCGGACATTTACATCCCTCACAACACCTTTCTTGTCGGGATTAGCACTTACAACTTTGCCCAGTACAAACTGTCCTCTAAGGGCATTTTGGTCACACAACCAGACAATGTCCCCAACAGCAACATTCCTGTGGGAAGTGTGCCACTTGCTCCTCACAAAAAGGTTGGGACCAGCCAGCTGCCTCCAACTTTTCCAGAACTTAGTAACCTCATTTTGCATAGCTCCAAGTCACTTAAATGAATAGTTGGAAAAATCAAACAGTCTCACATCGCCACTCTGAGATGCCCGTCCGAGCAAAAGACTGTTAGGTGTGATGTACTGTATATAACCCTCTCGACTCTGTATTCTGGCATCAATTGGGCACTCATTTGCAAGATTTGCAGCATTATAGAGAGTTGTGTGAAATTCACTGAATGTTAGTGCAAATCCTTGACCAAGACTCTGGAAAGCTCTTTTCACAATGGCAACAGCAGCTTCAGCAGCTCCATTTCTGTGAGGTGAGTCTGCAGGGAGGATTTTCCACACCCACTCAGTCCCGTTCTTTGCTGCAGTTTCTTCCAAACCTGATATATTTTGGGTGCGCAGATACTTATACAGCTCCTCCAAAACTGGTTTTGCTCCAACAAAGTTGGTGCCTGCATCAGACCAGATCTTCTGTGGATGACCTCGGATTGCAGTAAATCTCTGATAAGCCATCAGAAAGCTCTCAGTCGAAAGCGAGCTTGCCAATTCAGTGTGAATAGCTCTACTGGCCATGCAACAAAAGACGACTCCCCAGACCTTAATCGTTACCCTTTTCTTGACGTCATCTCTGACATGATAAGGCCCGAAGAGGTCGACTGAAGTGAACTTAAAGGGAGGAGCAGGCTCAGCCCTCTCAGGTGGCAAATCACCCATCAACTGCTGACACTTAAGAGCTCGAGTTTTCCTGCAGACCATACAGTTGTCAACAATCTTTTGGGCTATCCTCCGTCCTTTTACAACCCAGGCTTTTTGCCTCATCCTCAGTAGGGTTCCTGCAATTCCATCATGTGCAGCATTATGAGCTTCTCGGCCCAACAACGTTGATACCCAGGCATCATAGGGTATGATGGGAACTGCAGCTCTGTCTTCTCTAAAGATCTGTACTCTGCCGCCACAGAGTAATAATCCAGACTCCTTTTCTTGATACACCACCAACCTATTTATGGTTGTGTCAGGAAAATTGGCACCCATCTGAGCAGCAAGAAAAATGTCCCTGAGAGCACCTTCTCGTTCTCTCACAGAGATTACCCCTGTTGAGCAGACTGCCTCCCACTTTGGTTTACTTAGAGCTTGATTCTTCCTCATGAATCTTTTCGCTGCTCTCCAAACCCAGACAATTGTTTTGACCAGTCGTGTTAAACTGCTAAAGCGGCAAACATCTACCAGGTTCTGTATAGATATAGGTGGCCGCTGCTTCTTTGCCAAGACCTCCATTTGATTTTGATGTAATTCTTGTTTGAGCTCTGATTCCTTTATCCCAGTTCTTGTGGTCACAGCAATAAATGCTTTCTTTTGCAACTTGGTGATGCTTCCTTTTGCATCGATGGCAAGTTGTTTAGATGATTTAATTGGCCACATTTCAACTGGGGACTTTAGAAATGCTGGGCCTTGTTGCCACTCAGAGTCAATGCCAAGATCTTGAGGGCTGGCTCCTCGGGTAATGATGTCAGCAATGTTTTGATTCCCAGGAATCCACCACCAATCTTGGATTGTTGTGTTGCTCTGAATCTCTCCAATCCTATTTGCAAAGAATGATTGGAAACCGTAGCTTTCTCTTTGAATTGCTCCAAGAATGGTTTGACTATCAACAAAGTGATACCACCTCTGAACTTTGATTTGGCTATGCATCTCAAAGTACTTCTTTAATCGTGATGCGAATACTGCTCCACACATCTCTGCTTTAACAGCCTCACCTTTTTGTTCTAATGGAGTAACCCTAGCCTTGGATTCCACCAGCCTAATGGATGGGTCTGGAGCTGATCCCCATCTCAGATACAACACTGCTCCATAAGAACATTCACTTCCATCTGAGAATGTAATTGCTAAAGGGTTACCACTGTTATGAAAGGGAGTTAATGCTCTAGCAAACTGGATCTTACTAAGCTGAGTGTACTCTTCAAAGAGCTTGACTGCATCTTCTCTAAGGTCACTTGAAAGTGCCAAATCCCAGGTGTCTTTTACTTCTTTACTCACATTCTTGGCCTCTTGGAAAGCTTTCCGAACCAGGATTGCACCCTTCTGTTTTGCAGGTGTTACCAAGCCAACTGGATCATACAGACCAGACACCTGACTGAGGAGCTCTCGCCTTGTCAAAGGGTTTGGTGTTTGACTTCTGATTTGGTCCAACTCGAGGTCTTGTCCAAGTCGCATTTTCTTTTTTCTCTTTGAGAAATTTATGCTGAACATGACATGGAGTTTATCCTCCTCCACCATGTACCCCAGACCAAGTGCTTTGTTGTCCTCATCCCGCATTTGGTTCGGTAGAACCATGGTCTTTACTTTCACTTCATCCTGCTTGTTGCTCCTCCCACTTTGCCCAGAAAATACCCACGGTTTTAGTTTGAAACCTCCAGCTTTGAGAATGCGCTCCACATTTTCTGTGATTTCCTTTAACCTGACTGGGTCATTGTGGGATGTTAGAATGTCGTCAACATAGCTGTTATTCTGAAGGACTTGTCGCTCCTCTGCAAGATGAATAAATGGGGGCAAATTTGCAGTTTCTCGCATCGCCAACTGTGCAATGCATCCTGCAGGTTTATCTCCAATGTTCACTCTTGTAATTGCATAATCTCCAAGTTCCTCATCCTCAGAATCACGCCAAATAAATCTGTGCAGGTGAACTTCTCTTTCTTCCAGCCAAACGGAGTTATACATTTTCTTTATATCTCCTAATGCAGCATAAGCTCCTTCTCGGAATCTTAATAGGACAGCACGGATCGGGTTTAGGACATCTGGGCCTTTCATCAGTAGGTCATTCATACTTATCCCTTTAAATTTCTGACTGCTATTCCACACAAGTCTCACAGGAGTTGTCACAGAGTGTGGATTTGGAGCAATTAGGTGGCTTATGTACCACACTGGGCCGTTCCATTTGTTGATTTCCTCCTCAGACAGTTTAATTGCAGCTCCACGCTGAAGCATGTCATGCACTTGTTCAGTGTAAGCAGCTTTCCAGTCAGGCTCTTTAGCCAGTTTCTTCTCTGTTCTAAGGAATGTAGCTTTGACTGCATTTCTGTTGTCTGGCAGGGATGCTGGATCTTCTAACCATGGGTACCTAGCATGCCAGTGAGGTTCGGCTGTGTGGCTGTCTCCTTCATTGTAAGTGAGGCCTTCCTTCACCACCTCAAGCTCTCTTTCTTCAGCGAGCGTCATCTCCTTTCCTCCTGGCTGACAGTTTCCACAACGACAACCTCCACACTTGGGTTCACAAGCCGTGCCGATACTGTCCCATTTCCACCACTGCAAGAAATCTCGGGTTGTAGTTGCAGTCTTTGATGTGTTAAGTTGGATGGAGACCTGATGATTTAATGGCGGGTGCTGTGGGATCTCATGAATTAATTCTTCATATCTCACAGCAGCTGTCCTCATTGACCTTGCAAAATGTGTTTTTGTAGTATGAGCCTTCATGGACAGTTCCTCAAACAGTTCTGGATGAGTTCCTCCAACCATTTTTCCTAAGGGCCCATCCCACAATACAAGGTTCCCCACAACTCTAATTCTTTGTGGTGTCAACTGACCTTCCCTGTGGCTTATAAGTAAGCTTATTTCTCTGGGTCTTTCAAGTTCATCCAGTGGTACGTCTGGAAAAAATCTCTGCAGCTGCTTTGCCTTCACGTGTTTATGAATGTCTGCAATGCTGTCGAGTCCATAACAAACAAGCTGGTAAGGTTTAAGGGTGCCTTTGGAGGTTTTCACACGAATCTTCAAGAGGTAACGTTTTGTCTCCACACAAACTTTCATCCCTCCAACTCCATGGACAATGAGCGTGATCTCTTCACTTTTGAGATTTAATCTGCTTGCAGCCTTGTGTGTTATGTAATTTGTATCTGACGCCAGATCAATTAATGTGCCGATCTTTTGTCCAGCATTTGCAGTTACTTCAAGAAGCATCATTAAAACTGGCAGTTCCTGCATGCCACTATCCATCAGGAGATTTATCTGATTCTGAGTGGTCTTAAAAATTCTAGAGGCCGTATTTGAAAATACATCTCTGCAATGTTTGGCCAAATCAGGTGATAATTTCTTAAGAAATTCTTCTTGATCTTCTGTATACTTTTTGCTACTTTTGTCTTCTTCTGGGCCCATTCGGTTCCTCCTCTGGGGTGTGATGCTTTTCTTAGCTTCAGCACTTGGGCATAGATAATAGTGATGTGGATCATCCCCACTCCTGCAGCTTTGATTCTTGCACAAAAACCCTGGTTTGCAGTATGATTCATCATCATGTATTTCCAAACACTTACTGCATGCCCCTACCTTCTTGACAGCAGCTCTTTTCTCAGTTAATGTTAATGTTCTGAACTGTTTGCAAAAGTAGAGTCTTTTTCTGTGTTTTCCATCGCCGCAAACAACACATCTCACAAAGTCATCAACTGCTTTGACAGACCTGGTTCTGGCGTGTCTTTGCTCCATTCGGGTCTCTCGTCTACTTGGCTCTTCCTCTCTCAGTTGCTCCAATTGCTCATAAATATTTTCTTGGTCTTTCAGAAATTCAAGGAGATGATCAAACCGATTCTCTGGTACAACAGCATTCCTTTTATCAGTTGCATAAACGAGCCACTCCTTCTTCAAAGCTTCAGGAAGCTTAGTTTCAATGGACTTTGTCACCAGAGGATTTTTAATGGCGCCAGTATTTCCAAGGTCACTTAAATCCTTCAGAGCTTTTTCAACAGATTGAATTAATTCAACAATTCTTCTTGGATGGTGACCTCTTACTGCAGGAATCCTCTGTAGGTCCTCCACAATTTCGATTGCAATAGCTGTCTGATTTCCATAGCGATTCTCAAGGACTTGAAAAATATCTTCTGGAGTGCTGTAGGAGATTAAGCGGAGGTCTCTTATGATTTTCTCATCTAGACTGTCCAACAGCTGTGCTTTTTTCACCTCCTTTGACCCGGTTGGTTCTCCTTGTTTTTGAAGTGCTTCCCAGTCTCTTCTCCATCTGTAAAACTCACGTTTGTTTCCAAAATACTTTGGGAGAGATGTTGGTTTTAGCTTGATGGTTGGTAAAGAATAATTTCGGGAAGTTACACTTTGCTCCTCTTTTCCTTCATCCTCTTTTAATTTTGCATGAATGAAATCTGCTGTCCTGGAAACCAGCTTGGGGACCCTAAGTTCCAATCCTCCCAGCCGATCTTGGATTTCATCTCGTTTTTCATGAGGGATCCATCTTTTCCAGTGACAATGAGCTTCTTTGGCAGCCTTTAAGAGTTCCTTCAGGTGCTTGAGAGTGAATTCATATGCCTCCTTTTCCACTCCTGGTTTGATAGTGGCAGCATGTTCACATTCTGATTCTGCTGCTTGAAGTGCAATTAACAGTTCTGTCCTTCCAAAGGTTCTCCACAGGGTCTCCTGGATTAAGCATTTGACTTCTCTTACTTTTGCTTCGCATTCCTTTGCAGTTTTTTCCAGGTCAGCTCTCTGCTGTTCAGTTACTGTGGCTTCGTCATCCTCACTCAGTTTGGATTCCACTTCTGCAATGAGACTTGCTTCAAGATCATCATTTGCTGCCATTACTTTTCCAGCCTCTATGTTGAGCCTGTGGAAACTGTCTTTCAATTCTTCTTCAGTCATGTCCTCATGCATCCGAGTTATGCTATTGATCAGTCGAGTTAACAATCTCTTTGCTGTCGTTCTCTCCATCTTAAGTTGTTCAACAGACTTTCCATCAGCTAGTTCTGCCATCTTTAAAATCAGTCTCAGTTGTTCACAGATATGAGGGAAACAATTGATGTCAGTAACTGTCTCTTCTTTAACAAGATCCTTCAATTAGCTTATTTCTTTTTTCCTTCAGCAGTTTTTTGCTGGTTTTTTACTGTTTGCCGGTTTTTTACTGTTTGCCGGTTTTTACTGTCAAGTTATTTCTAATCTTATGCAGCTTCCCCACTTGAAAAGGGATGGATAAATTGATGCAGACTTTGTTGACCAGGGTTTTACTCAAAGGACCACACATTTTTCTTCCTTTTATCCTCTATTTATTTTGTGAGTGTCAGGATATATCTACAATTGGTCCAGAAGCAGGTAAAAACCTTTAAACAAACCCAAAAGAAGAAAAATAAATACTGATTTGTATGTTAGCTTACATTAATTAGTTCCACTTAAACTACAAAAGAAAATGATAAACTGTACAACACTAAACAAACCGCTGTGAATCAAACCCACAAAGTCATTAAAGTTAAATGAACAAGTAACTAAACTTAAGTTCCTTAACTTTCAAATACATTTCAAATAAATATTTACAATTACATTTATTTAAATATACAAATACTACTTTATTTTATAAATAGTTTCATATTGTTATTCTTCTTAATCTGATAGTTAATTTATAGATAAACTTAACACCAAAATTTGCTTTTATAGTAGAGATTTCTTTGTGTTCATTTCACATCTGGAGATGTTTGTTTCTGCTGACATGTATCAACAGGTCCTGCAGCGTTTAATCAAATCCCGTGGAAAGTCTCAAAGCAAACACTTGAACGTGCAGCTTGTCGCAGCTGAAAAACTTGCACAGTGTCCATCTGTGAGTAAACTTCCATCACTCTTTTAAATCCAGAGGAGCAGCGAATACTATTATTGATTTTGCTATCTGCAACCAAGAGTAACAACATTTGCACGCACCAGCAACATTCCTCTCTCTCCCTTCCCCCTCTACAGGAGATGTTTGATATTATTTTGGATGAGAACCAACTTGAAGATGCCTGTGAACACCTGGCCGAATACCTGGAGGCGTACTGGCGTGCGACCCATACTTCGCTTAGCACGCCACTCAACCCCCTGCTGGGACGCAACCTGGGTTCCACCGCTCTCTCCCCATATCCAGCTGCCATTCAGGTAAACTTATCTTGCTGAACACAAACTTGGCTTCTATTTACTTGTTTAATATGCTAAGATATTGTACACTCATTTATCACATTTCTCTGTCTGCAAATGAACAATAGGTGCTGAAATATAAAATTAAGTACTTTACTTTTTGCCTTCAAGTAGTCTCAATAGTACGTTTGGTCAAAGCTGACAAATAAACCTTTAATGCCTTTTTCTCATTTACTTAATTAATACCATTAATAAATACTTAATATCTACATAGATATAGATAATTTATTACTTATTACTTCGCAATTTTGACTTGTATTGAAAAATTTATATCAGGCTTACATGAAAAATCAAAGAGCACAATGTAATATTTTACTAAACAACTGAGAGATTTTTAAGTAGTGCCTTGCAAAAGCAGAAATACAAGTACTACAACAAATCCTATATATTGTTGAGGGTTTATGTAATAGAAACACAACTGTAAACAGAAAGGAAAATCAAAAAACTTTTTAGATTTTTTTTTTTTAACCAAATTTCAAAATTAAATCTGAATAGTAAGGAGCGAATTTAAGGCGGCACACTGAAGAACTGTCTTTAAATACAGCTATAGGTCTTTTGGTTGTGTCACTACCAGATTTAGCTCAGAAATTACATCCCCACTAGATACTGCCAACACCATGTTTAACTGTGGGGAGGATTTCTTCTTAGTTTGTTTGGTTTTCTGAAATCTTATTTTGCTTTTAGGCCAAATAGCATTCTAAGGTTGGTCCTATCTGCTCACTAGTGTTGGGAATTGAAAAGATTTTCACGATTCCGATTCCCTTTTCGATTCTATGAAACGATTCGATTCTTTATCGATTCTTTTTTCGATTCCAGTTTGGGGAAAAAAGGAGAACAAACAGTTTGATAATCAGCATCAACTTTGTTTACTTAACTATTGCACAATCTTACAAACTCAATACTAATACTAATTATAAAACAGTAGTAGGGAAAATTAACAGTTCTTTTGCAGAAAGATGAGCATATCTGCTTTTTCTGGAAGGATACGGGATCTTTCAGCGCTTATGGTGTCTCCAGCCGTGGAGAACACCCTCTCAGATGGGATGGAGGAAGCCTGCACACAGAGGTAGTTTTCAGCCAGTCCAGATAGCAAGGGCAGCGTATCTTGCTTGTTCCACCACCACAGTGTGGTGCTATCCCTGCAGGGGATGGAGGGCAAGCTTTTACAGAGCTGGATTTCCTGATCTACCCTCTGGGCTAAGGAAAAACGGGGCTTTGATTCACAAAGGGACCGCAGCTCGTTGTCTTCCTCCTCGAATAGTTCTTCCAACTTGCGTAACTTGCGTAACTTGCGTAACTTACGTAAAAAACGTGACGTAAGTCGTGCTCCGCAGAGCCGGCGCTCTAGGCTCTGGTGCTGCGGGAATCGAAAAAAGAATCGTTCAGCGAGCTGCCAAACGATGCCATGGAATTGGAAAATACGGAACCGGTTCTGAACAGGAACCGGTTTTCGATTCCCATTCCTACTGCTCACAGCAACTTCTTCCACTGGATGTGGTTCCAACATCCCTTGTGGCAAAACTAAAACAGGACTTTTTTTCAACCTTATTCCTTCTTTCTACCAGTTCAAATTTCATAGATTGCACAACAAAATATTTTCCCACCTGAGCAGTTGGGTTTCTGCAGGATCTCTTAAACCTGTCACCTCTTAGACTAATTTCCACTTATCTTCCAGTTAAGGAAGTCTTGATATATTTGCAGTTTTGCAAACACACTCTTTCAGTTTCACAATGACTTACTGAACTATGCTCTGTGATAAAGGTCAAAGGTCAGAATGTTGTTTTAGAACCAAAAACACTGCTTTAAAGCTACATAGTCAAGTTATATGCTTAAACCGAAAAGTCCAGAATCCAGTTGATTATGATAAAACAAAGCTATATGCTCCAAGCATCCGTCCTAATAGTGTTTTGATAATCTCTTTTCAGGCTAAATAAACAATCAGAACTGGTTGCGATGAGCTGATGTAAACAGACACGGCGCCATTTACACGCAGTACTGCTGAGCTACTGTACTAGAAAAACAGATAGTGGCCAGTGGCCACAAGGTACTAAATAAGTCCTGACTGTGCTGTAATGCCTCTCAGAAAGCTGACAGCTGAGGATGGAGCTTAACATAATACTGGCATGAGAAGCCCTATTAGAAAGGACATGTCCTTACATATTTATCACCTTCACAGCACCATCAGAATGCTTCCTGAGCTTTAGCATCAGCTTTGGGGAACCCCAATAATTTGACTGTTTCCCAGCAATATTCTCAGAATCAAACATCATCTTGCACCTTGTAGTACTTTTATCTTGGACTTCTTTTTTTTTTTTTTTTTTTTTTTACTACGCTGGGAGCTCCACACTCATTTGCCTCCTTTGCTTCAGCTTCTTGTCCAATTATACAAATGCACGCTGAATCCAGGTCACATTATGTTGTTATGGTAGACATGCATAGAAAGACTCTATATGCTAACAGATTGTGCAAAAACAAAGCTTAAAAGACAAAAAAATAAAAATACCATGACAGCGGGATGCTTCAATTTGTCATAAAAGTTACTACCATGTAGATTTGAAATTTCTTTGCTATATTCCTTTAAGCTTTTTCAGCTCTAAGTCTGACCTGTCAGGTTTGTTTGTTTTTTATTCTCATCATGATTGTTCTTTAAAAAGCTGATTCCAAATAGGCCTACAAATCAAGCCTTTCAAAAGTATGGCCAAATGGTGCACTACTCATGTTGGTCTGTCACATAAGTTCCTACTCCCTAATTAGGCCTCTGTTAGAGTAGACACTTATTGAATGTGTTGCAAGTGTTTTTGAATTGAATGGAAAATAAATATTTATGTTTTAACCCTTTATAGGGCACTCAGTGAAATACTTTAAAAAATTTAAATTTCAAGTCACTAGTGTTATGGGAATCCAGGACAAGACCTTATTAAATTTGTAACATTCAAAAAACAGATATTTCGACGGCAAAAATTAATGTCAATATAATAACAAGAAACGCCAACTTGCTGGAATATATTAATAAAAATAACAAAAGTGCTTCTATAAGGAATTCATGAAAAACAATGTGAGAGTGAAAGAAACACATTTTTTTTTTTTTTTTGGTGCAACATAACTTTAGAGGCATTAATGCTGATACTGGCACTTACATTTTTTAGATTATAGACCTAAATATAATTGTAAACTATGCTAATTAACTTTTTAACTTTTCGATTAGCTTTTTAACATTTTTTTTCCAACTTCAATCAATCATCAATCCATCTATCAATCAATCTTTATTGTCAACTACAATTTACATTGGGGTAGAAATTTCAGTTTCAGTACAAACCATTCATCACATTCGGGAAGAGAGGGGAAAAAAGCGTATTTCACACTTCGTCCTTGACAGGAAACCGCTATCAAAAAAAAACCTCAGCACAAGAAAAGCACATAAAAACACAAGACAGAAATTTCAGCATAGGGGGAAGGGATCTACTGAGGCCATGCTTGCCACAGAACGCTGCTAGTAGCGCTTTCTTATGGCTTGCCAGGTTCCCACCAGTTTCCTGGCTTCCCCAAGTCCCAGGCTGTTACCTATACTGCCTTAGAAAACTTAATATACAGTAGGTAATATATAATTTAAGGGCTCATCGAATAAGATGTACAGCCATGTAGCAGTATCTTTGCTGAATGGCTGGATATAGATATTGTAATTCTAGACCTCACTGAGGGATGGGGGAGTTATCCATTTGTAATGGGTATGCAAGTGATCAAAAACGGTAACTTGCCCAATGGTTATAAGGCTGGCCATATGTTCTGACTTGTCGTTTAACTCCAGTACCGTAGAACTTAAAACCTGTTTTCCGTCACACCCAGACATTTAGAATGAATCACATCAGACGGCTTTGTTTTCCCTTTGTCAAAAAAGCCATTGTTTCCTTTCTCATACTTTGAGTCACACGTCTTTGTTGTCACATTTATGGAATTCTTTTTTGGCTTTAAGCTGTCCAGGAAGATTGCTTCATACCAGATCTCTGCATCTGATTTGCAGCGTTGGAAAACCAGCTAATCCAGCTAGTTTTAATTAAAGCAGCAGCGTTTTAAGTCAGTTGTGTTGTGTTGGCGTGTGTTGGCCCTGTGTCTGTATTAAAAATCAAGTTGCATTGGGAGGGTTATTATAAATCCAAAAGAAGCGCCTAAATCATCCTGAAATTATTTCATATATATTACCATTTTTGCTGGGATTAGATTAAAGGTTTATTTTGTCTAATTTGTAAAACCGCTGCTCTTACCAGTCGGCTTCATGTCAGGGTCAAGTAACAGGCTTATCAAAGGATTCATATTAAAAAATGAAACAATTATTAAAATGTCAAATAACTTTATTTCTTCCCTGTTAGACATTTAATCAGATTAAGCCTTCCCTTTCTTTTTTTGTCAGTTCAGAAGACCAAAATTAGCTCTGCTGCTAAATGTCAGAATATTCATACCCAGATTGTTTTTCTTTAACTTTAAAGTTTGCAATATAATAAAATTAAAATTACTTTAAATGATTTCAAACAGCCTTTATTTAATGTCCTGGCTTTTTAAACTTCTGAGTCACAAAATATGAGTTAAACAGAAGCCCGGCTGTGGATTTATTTAGAGGCAACAAATAAAATACACCTCTTTCGTGTGTGATATTTAAAAAAAAACAAATCCAAGATTAGACAAGACCCCAGGAAAATAGTTATAGATTTTGAAAAGTCTAGTTTATAGTTGGGAAACATTTTTTAGATTGCTGATATTGCATTGTTCATCATCTAAGCACGATTATATGGAATATTTGCAGTGAGATGTGAACGCATTATTAGATAAAACCTTATTTTCAAATATTAACACATTATCTAGTAAGCCAGGAATTAAAGCGTGGATGCAAATGGGTCTTCCAAATAAAATGTGATTTTAATCATAACATGAAGTCAGTTACAAGGCATTTTAATGACAATGAATGCAATGTCCAAAGTCCTAACTTTATTGCACAGATAATCTGTGAGCAGAGCTTTAAATGTATGTTATTGGAAAAGTTTGGTCTGATTTATTATCAGGCAATAGGAAAAAAAAATAGCAATGTGTCATTTATTCATGTATTTATTGTGTATACATACTTATAGACATGTATAATATTTCTATGTCAAATAGGCCCAGAAGAATCGAAACAGCAACCACTCAACAACCGACCTTTCTCCCGTCGAGCGCAACACTCTGATGCCTGCAGATGAGAACTATCACATAGAACGAGGACGGAAGAATCGCAACCGCCTGTCTTCTGGCTCACAGCACAGCAGGGACCACTCTCCACTGATGGAGGAAGACTACCAAGACCCCTATCAGGACTCTTACAAGCCTCACCGCAATCGTGGATCCCCAGGAGGCTACAGCCAGGACTCCAGGCACAGGCTCTGAGCGGACTCACATCTCCAAAATATCCACCATGAACACAGGAGCTCAGGCAGCTCTGTTGTATAAAATCTACTACAGTCATGTGACCTGGGACAATCTCTTATGTCTGTGTAGTACCTCATAACCCAATCTTACCTTGGTTGTTGCCAAATGGACATTTACAACCCTAGTGAAAAAACTGCCTTTGCTATGATGTGAATATGGGGGTGGACTTGTAGCACAAAAATGTTTGTTTTAAGGAAAGGGTGGAAATTGAGCTTGTTTTAACACGTCAAACAAGTAGCTTGTAAGTAAAATCAGCTAAAGAGTGAGAGTGTGGGGTGTAGGCCCTTCTACACCTTCCCTGCCATCTCAGCTGACCCTGTAGCATGTAGGAGGGGCTGTGAAATCAGTGCCTGACAGGATCCTACAGTGATTAGCAACTCAGTACTTGTTCTGACATAACGTAGAGCTGAGTGGAGCAAAATATGCCAATATTTATACATTTGTGTGCTGCAGTCTTCAACTTGAGCGTGGAAGTCTTGTAAAATCTTGTTTCCAAATCTCTTGACTTTTGCTCTTTGCGTTTAATGTGATTTGTTTTGTTTTCTCTTTCAAACTTCATCCAGAGGCTTCCTTCTTCCTTATTTGTTCCCCCTTGAACTCTGTTTTTGTTTCAGTCGTATCTAAAGTCAAGCAGATATAGAGACATTTAAAAGCTCCAAACCTCAGGAACTATAGAGGTCACTAAGACCTAGAAGTGTAGCGTTTGTTATCTTATCCATCTGACAAGAATATAATTGTGGGTTTATTTACTATACAGTGCCTTTCAAGAGTATTCCCAGCGGTGGTATTGGATGCGTCTTCTTTATTAAAGAGGCTTAATAAAGGGAAATTGTGATCAAAGCAAACCGGTTGGGGGCCGTAGAAGATATTTGACCACAGGTGGACATAGAATGAATATAATTGCATGCCGAACTTTTTGGATTTTTAGTAAAGTTGAGAACCGATGTATAATTTTCCCTTTGCACCACATTTACCTTGTACTTTATGCTGGTGCTGGAGACGATTCTCAGTCAGCCGGGTCATAGTCATCCCAAAAAAAGAAAGAAAGTAAAAAACAATCCACTGGACTTTGTTTTTAAGTTTGAAGACATTTCGCTTCCCATCCATTTTCAATTCAAAATGTCGGGAATAGCATTGAGTTCAAGGTTTTATACAGTAGCCCATCAAAACCTTGTTTTGGTTTTGAAAACAGAAAACCTTGTTTTTGTTTTTAAAACGTGGTCTACCACGTAAAATATAATAAACGGCATAAAATATTAATAAACTACATTGATGTCTGTGGTTTTAATGTGATGACATGCAGAAATGTTCAAGGGATGTGAATGCTTTTGTAAGGCACTGTAGCTGTAGTGGAATGCTGTACTAACTGTTTAGCTTTTGTCTTGAAATATATGAATTTAGCAGGGCATGACTACGAAAAACAAGAGGGTATTTTAGCTTGTGACTTATTGAAGTCTTCCATGTGTAAATATTGTCCAAAGATTATCGAAAAAAAATATTTAAAATTCCATTTTTTTGTAACTCTGATAACAGCTGATGGCTTTATTTAAGGGTCTTTCAAGTTTCCCAGATTTAGAAAGAATATTTTTTAAAGGTTTTATATAATAGATAATAACTCAAAAATGTTAATAGAGTAGTGAGTGATCCTGACCTGTTAGCTTTTTACATGATTTTAATGTTTTCGTCAAAAACCTTTGAGGAAAAACGAAGATTATGGAGAGATAAACCAGTCTGACCTTGTGCTTACCTATGCTAACAACTAAATGTTAACATTCACCAAAAAGGGAAAACTTGTGCTGGAGGTTTTTGAGTGGATATTCATTTTAAAGGTATAGTGGAGGATGTTGTTGTTCCTGGTCGATCATCTAAATAAGTGGTCCTCCTAATTGTCATGATATGTTTACGTAAGGCCGTCCTACGTGCTCGTCTCCGTTTTCACTTACCGGTGGGGAGTCTGACTCAGTGAAAAAATCACAAATCTTCTTTTGGAAAGTGGCTTGTATGAACGATGCAATCAGCATCAGAGTGCATGAGGCATAATGGGCTTATGCACGCTCTTGCACGGATTTAATAGGCGTTCCCTCTCAGGAGCGCGTACAGGGTTGTGCATGTGCAAGTGGAGAGGGCAGGTATTTTTTTAAAAATTCGCAAAAATCCTCCACTATACCTTTAAATCCAAAGAAAATAGAGTGTAGATTACAGTATTCCCCCCTGAACTTTTTTTTGTTGTTGCTGATTTTAATAGGAAATTGAAATTTCATCAAATAAATGATATGTATGTGTTTACAGTCTGAAATATCAATAGCTTTAAGTCTTGATATGTTTCAGGAATTAGGGAGAAATATGTGCAGTACGTGACCCACAGATTGCTGTTTAAATTACGTTAAAATTAGATTTCCAACACCAGACAATCAGCTGGTAAACTGTATTATCACCTTCATGTCTTTACAATTACATGTCTGATACATGCTGCTTTTTGCCAAATGTAGTGGACTTTCGTGTATTTTTATTTTATTTATTTAAATGTGCACTGCCAATAAACACAGGAAAACTAGAGCACAGTCTTCGAATCGCATACTTTTGAACCTTGTAATATACCATGTAGCTACTTTCATTCCATGAGTCAAACATGACATACAGGAAGAAAATCTGGAGGATCAGAAATAATGTTTTTACTTTTATTTCCAAATAGAGGGACATCAGTAATTATTTAAGAAATATATAAAAACTGCTTATTAGGAAAATGCAAATGTATTTTAACATATGTGTGCATATAATTTTACAATTGCTGAAATAAACTAAACAGTTGTATACATAAGAGGATTAGGGCCACTGACAAATTTCTTTAAAAGTTAACTGATTTTTAAATCTTTTTTCAGTATGAGAATGTAAAAAGTTGCCCAATTGCATTATTTTCCACCAAAGTGTTACTGGCCGTTCCAAACAACTCACATATTTGTCAGTGAAGCTGAGTGCTCCCACATCTCTTCCTCCATGGTGCCCATCTACATTAAGATCCAACATTATGGGATTAAAGTCAGAATTCTGAGAAAAAAAAGTCAAGATCTGAGATTAAAGTCAGAATTCTGAGATTAAAGTCAGAATTCTGAGATTAAAGTCAGAATTGTGTTAAAAAAGTCAAAGTTCTGAGATTAAAGTCAGAACTGTGTGAAAAAAGTCAAAGTTCTGAGAAAAAAGTCAGAATTCTGACTTTTTCCCCATATTAAAATAAAATTAAATAAAAAAATCAGTTAACTTTTTTTTATGTTTTCAGTGTACCTAATCCTCTTCCGTATGGGTGGAAGTTTATTATATATTTTTTGTATCATGTTTTATTGCAGAGTAATTGTGCGCATGCGCAAACTTGACAGCCCAGCGCACTTTACAACATCCAGCTGATACCAACCGCTTAGCCATACTGGTTGCGCCTTTTCTCTTGTTTCTCTTAATCCCAGCTGTAATGTTTACATGTCAGATCTGCCGTAAAATGACTTATTGAGCAGTGGGCGACGCCAGCATGATGGAGGTCGTATTTAAACGTTTAAATTTGTGTTTGAGTAGTTCCCAGGCTAGCAAGCTAGGTAAAGTTGATAGCAATAATTATCATCAACGCTAGCTAGCTGACTGGTTGCCGATATTTACAAAGCTGGCATCGAAAAAACTTCACCGTTAGCCATGGGAATACTTTTTACGAAGCTATGGAGGCTTTTCAATCACCAAGGTAAGAGATTTCTGTTAGCATTTTATAACAAATTGTCGAAGACATGGGAGCTAATTGGCCTCTTTGGCCAGAGAAGGCCCTCAGTTCTGATCCTTTTTTATGAGCGAAGACATCGGTTTTCTTAGCATTATTTTATAGAAAGGTTTCTATGATGATAATGTCACAAAGTGTAAGAATACCAAGCTTTGTGAGGTTTTATTAAGCCACCGTTACGCTTCTAAGACACGGGTTTCTAGTAGCTCTGCGTTGATTAGCTTTGTGCTATATTATTTATGCTCTCGGGTTTTGAAGCGTAGGTAAGTGAAACCGTGTCTCAAGATGTTTAATCAGTGAAGAGGTCATTTCCACAGCTATTGTAACGTGAATCCAGATGGTTTTGACATGCCACCGGTATTAAGACTGTAATGCTGAGTACTGGGGTCAATAAAGATCAGTGAATCCCACGGACCTTGCACTGCCACGGTTTTCTCATCAGTATAACTTAAGGAATACAGATTACGTTACATTGATTGATTTAAACTCACAAAAATTCATAATGGGATTTGCTAGCCTTTCAAAAAAAACATATGTTCAGCGTTTCATACATTTTGCTTTTGCTTGATAGTTAACCTTCTGAAATTACCTGTCATTTTTTTCTTTGTTGGATTTCTATTTGTAGAATAGGGAAGAGGTTTACTGATTTTTAAATTTTATTTTTTATTTCTGTATATGAGAAAAAGTTTTTTTTTTCCTCAGAACTCTGACTTTAATCTCAGAACTCTGACTTTAATCTCAGAATTCCTACTGAATTCTGACACCTCACTGATTCTTGGGAATTTGGATAAAACAGGTTTTAATTTTGAAAATAAAAAGTTAGTTGGATTACAAAATCTGAAGTTATATTGTTATAGACCAAGGTCTTGGCTGTTCAGCAGTGTACAGGTGCAACCTCCTCATTTTGTATTTCTTTCATAAAATAGGCATTTTTCCAGTTATTACTTTGTTTTTGTCAACACCATCAGACACAATAAAAAGCTAATTATTTTTTATTTATTTGGTCTAATAAGTATTTAGAGTTTTTAAATCTTTATCTGGCATTGTTAGCACACATTTATGCTGTTAAATGTTGAATATTCATTTTTGTTAATTTTTTTAACTGTTTCACGTGTAGTCCTTTAAAATATCTAACATCAGATAACGTTTACTTTAAGCCTAAATAGAAAAAGTCATGTTTTTTTATTTAACAAACATATTTTTGTATTAAAAGAGACCATTACTTTAATGAGAGAACAGCACTGAAGAAACATATTGCAAGCATATTCATTTAAAACGAATAAAAAGCCCTCTGACGGTGGTGACTTTAGAACTGACGGTGTTGACAGTGGCCTCATTTCAACATACAATTCCAAACTGTATACAATTCAAGTCAATGGTTTCTTGTTTATTAACTTTATTTAACTATTTGGTCCAAAAAATAACAATCATGAGCACTGTGACAAATATTTTTCAAGGAATATAAGGTACAATTAAGAAATATCATTATCAGTCAGAATCATTCTCTGATGCTTTATTTTCTTGCGTGTGATTGTGTCCTGTTTGTCAGTTGTCATTCGTGCTGCATTATGGTAGAAATTTTGAACCTTCTGAGTAATTGCTTGATTATATGTAGGTTTTTTGTCAGTAGGCCTTCACACTTCTTTTGATATTCCCTGTTTCTCTTCCTTCTTTCCTTCACAGATAGCTGCTTCCTAGCCATAACTTCCTAAAATACATAAAGTCAAAGTTGAGTGTAATGACTATGAAATTGGGGGGAATTACAGTAAATGTTAGATTTGGTTAAATGTTGCCCTGCCATAGCTTACAAGGAATATTGTATACTATGTGCTATGTAGGTAGGTAGTAGGTGCACTATGTGCATCCCAAATGATGTAAACAAAATGAACATGGCATAATAGTGAATTGAGAGACAGGGAAGGCCCACCCCATCCCCTAGGGTTATACAATATGGAAGAAATCTAGGCGGAATTACATAAATAAAAATATAAAAGAAGTTAATGAAACATTACAGATCAACAATTATTTTCTAGCCTCCATTGAGAACCATTTGTAGTTTTTTGTCACCACCGTCAGACAGAAAATCTGACGGTGGTGACGTCTGACGGTGGTGACAAAATCCTACTCTTTCACATGATATGCATGAGTTGTTCACATTAGCCATCTTGTTTCCCCTCTGTTGCTAGCTACTTTAGACCTCTTCTTAAAAAGTAAACATTTATGTCATAATCTAATCTAATATTTTTTATACAAAAGAGACGGTGTTGACAT